TGTATAAATCATTCTGGTTGATTAACTACCATGTGGTCCAAAACGCATCATGATCTGTCACCCATGTAGTGGATGAAAGACAACAGTTGAGTATCACCAATTCAGTATGTATCTGAAACGAAACAGAATATAAATTTGGGAATATAAGTTATAATAATATAAGACTTGGTTGATTTATTCTGCATTATGGGTTTTAATATTTTCTTTTAATAAATTAAAATGGTCTCCTCAAGAATACTGAAAAAGCCATCAGAAGAGGAGATCCCAATTTAATTAACATGCTGGATACATTACCTAGCCTGAACAATGCCAGTAAGAATGCTAATGGACATTAGTAAGTTATTGCACAGTATCGCATTACTGCCTACTGTCACTTTTCATTTTGAACTTAAGAATATAAGAACAAGGAGCGGGAGTAGGCAATTCTGCTCTTCGAGTCTGCTTCATCATTTGATGTGATCTTGGATAATCTCATCCTGGCCTCAGCTCCACTTTCCTGGCATGCTCTCTGTAACCCTTCAATCCATTACTGTTGAAAAATCTGGCTATCTCCTCCTTAAATTTACTCAATATTCCAGCGTCTACCAAACTTTGAGGCAGTGAATTCCACAGATTTGTGACCCTTTGAGAGGAGCAATTTCTCCTCATCTCTGTTTTAAGTCTGCTACCCCTTATCCTAAAACTATGACCTGTCATTCTACATTGCCTCACATAATGAAACATCCTTTTTATATTTATTTTGTCAATCCCCTTAGCATCTATGTACCTCAATTAGGTTTTCTCTCATTATTCTAAATTCCAGAGAGAATAGACCTAAACTACTCAACCTTTCTTCGTAAGACAAGCACCTCATCTCTATAATCAATATAGTGAACCTCCTCTGAACTGCCTCCAATGCAATTATATTCGTCTTCAAGAAAGGGGATCAAAGCTGTAAGCAGTACTCCAGTTGCACTGTCTCTAATGCCTAGTACAGTTGAAGCACCAGTTCCCTAATTTTATACTCTGTTCCTTTTGCAATAAACTCCAAAATTCCATGTGTCTTCCTTATTACCTGCTGTACCTGCATATTAGTTTTCTGTGATTCATGCATGAGGACACCCAGATCCCTCTGCACTGAAGCACTCTGAAGTTTCTTTCCATTTAGAAAATAAGTTGCCTTTCTATTCCTCTGATCAAAATGGATAACCTCACACTTTTCCACGTTAATCCTCATCTGCCAAATTTTGGCCTGTTCACCTAACCTATCTATGTCCATTTATACATTTCTTGTTTATTCATTGCAATTTACTTAAAATTAAGATACATCTAAGATTATTCGGCTGTAAGTGAATTAAAACCTATTTTTAAGAGGAGAAATTCATGAGAAAACACTGACACTTAATGAAGATATCATTCTATTGCCATTTGCACATTCAAATCATTTATGACACAGTAGAGGAGGAAAAGAACATGGGCTGAATTTTACAATTTTTTGGCCATGTGTCAGTGTAGAATTTTTTTAAGGGTTTCTGTCGAGGAGGTCCAGCATGTTTTCTCCACATATCTAACCAAATTCACCTTATTTACTACTGACCCCACCGCTATGGTGCCTCCCTCATGGGGTTCTCACCCCATCCTCCATAGAATGTAGAACAGTACAGCACAGGAACGGGTCCTTCGGCCCATGATGTTGTGCCAAACATGACACCAAATTAAATTATTAAACTTCACTCACTATTTACGGAACAACTCACTATTGCTACATTATCCTGAAATGGGCCAGCATCCCTGATGCCTGCAGAAACTTTAAAAGCCCATTGTGCAGTTGGGTGCTGTCTGGCCATTATTCTATAGGTTCTGGTGGATTGGATGGTGCAAAGGCATGACTTCCTCTTCCCACAGGGTCAGCAGAGAAGGTCACACATCAGGTCATGCCATCTTGGCCAATACATTCTCAATCAGCTAGGGGAATGCTCAATAATGTAGGAAAAAGTTCAGTGACCTTCTCCACTCCAGCGGCATAAGTGCCACTATCTTCTCTTTCCAATCTCACATTTAATCTATCTCAGCAACTGGACTCACTTTCCATCGAACTCATGCTCTACCTCTCTTGCTGTCTTCAACATCTTCCCTTACTTGTTCTTGATACCTCACCAGCTGCACCAAACGAAACAACTGTGCTACCCACTTTCATCTCCCTTAATACCTACATCTGTCTTTTTCCAGAAAGAAAACAGCACAGTCAAGATGGTTGGTGTGCTGCCTGACTTTCAGTTCCTCAGCCTTTATGTGGAGAAGTCTCTGACTCTGACCAGTGCGAGTGGAAGACTCACCATGTCCAGGTCTGCCCCTAACTTAGTGTGTTGGGAACCCCTGACCAAAGGCTGTCTCCCATGACTTGACTGAGGACTGTTGACAACAGTGACAATCTTCCTGGCTTTTAGTCTGTTCTAAATAGAACAGCAAGTCAGCAATACTATGAACTTCATATCTTTGGCTGAGGGGAAAAGTGCAAAAAGTTGAGGGTAGGCAAGGCAGATATCCAGGTATACTCAAAGTAAGTGAGCATCATGAGAACAAATGAAAAGCCCAAATATATAGCCTTTTTTTTCCATGCACTGCATGCACCATTGGGTCCTTGACAGCACCATGCCCTTGCTGTTGCACTGCACTCTGAGGTGCAGCATTGAGGTGCAGAAGTGGTTCAGAAATGAGCCATGTGGGCTCCTAGAGGCTGGCACATGTTGGATGCAAGTGTTTTTGGTTGTGGGGTGTGCACAGCGAATGCCCACAAAGCATGACCTGAGGTGTTGGTGCTTAGTGTAGAACGTAGATCAACTTTGGAACAAGCAGTGAGCTGAAGTCACCAGATACCCGCTCTAATTTCATGCAGAGAGTTCAGCATGGAAAGAACTAGCATGTTAATAAGGTCATTAACAAGCAGAAGTGGCAGAAATTCACCAAAGATCCTTAGACAGTACCTTGAAAACCTACCAACCACTTCCATCCAGAAGGACAAGGGGCAGCAGATACCTGGGACACCACCACCTACAAATTCCCCTCCAAGTCACTCACCATCCTGACTCCAGTGTTGCTGGGCCAACATCCTGGAATTTCCTCCCCAAGGGCTTTGTGGTCAACCTACAGCATGTGGACTGCAATGCTTCAAGAAAGCAGCTCACCACCACCGCCTTGAGGACAGGATGGGGCAGGCAATAAATGCTGGCCAACCAGTGAAGCCCACGTTCAACGAGTGAATAATAAAAATATTCCCCCTTACTGCGATTGTGAAAACCTTGCCTCATCGCCCAGCAGTTGCATTCAAGTTACTCCTAATGTGAAGGCAGGCCTTGCTGGACTTTTTGTCCTATTGTGCCCTATCTCACCAGAGCCCATGTTCTTCAGACCCCTATAAGATTCCACCCAATTTCTTTTAAAATGGGCCCTTACAAAGAAACTTGATTTTTAAGAAATAATATTGCATAAATTAAGAGAAGTAGGGTAGTAAAGAATTGTGTTAACGATTTTATAGAAACATCCTTCATTTTTTAATCTTCTGTGTATGCGTATCTGCCTCAAGTAGTTATACCAAGCTCACTTAGTAGTAAAGTTAATCTGTAAAACTCGGATCAATTCTAATTCAGCGGTTACCAGTTCTTTCAAATATGGCCTTTCCATCCATTTGCCCGGATGCAGCATCACCCAGAGGTAAAGTCCATATCAGCAGTATCTTGGACCTCCACATCCACTTCGAAGCACCATAATTCACTCTATGGATCTACAAAGCTCGCTCAGGACATGATTTGAACATCTAACATTAGCCTTAGCAGAAAACTCTATCCCAAATAAACACATTGTCTTCCACTCAACATCTCAACAACCAGGCTTCAATCTCTCCTGGAGCATGTGGATAATTCGCTATAGAATAGGGACTTGACATGGCTGATGTGATCGCCTGATATACGAATGGCACTGTAAAATATAACCTGGTTGTGACTGCGAAAATCATGAACAAATATTAGAGCTCATAATAACAGCTTCCCTCCAAATCAAGTTGGAGAATAATATTTCCCCTTAAATAGGGGGCATTGGACTTGTTTGGAAACTTGTCGTTATAATTGTGTTGGCATTTACTCCTAAAAGTATACAGAAGTGGTAATATCGGTTATACTTCAGTACCTTACTTGATGGGCTGTAGGTAATGTTGAGGCCTTGCTGTATCCTGCTCTTGCCCAGTGTTCTCACACAACATATTTTCAAGCCAGGTTCACAAGAAAATGAGCAGGAGTAGCAATTTTCACTCTGCTTTTTAGGCAATTTAACACTGTGATACTGCCTTGCCTGAGAGCACAAAGCTATCAGGTGGAAATAGTGGGCTGGCCTGTGAAGCGCACTAAACATGAATAGTTTGCCCTAAGTGTAGGCTGACTGTAACAAAGAATTTTTCATTTGGACTGTCACCCAAGAAAATTATTTTAGAAGATAAGGTAAAGTTCGCATTTATAATATGGCTTCCACGAACTCAGAACAGGTCAAAGCACTTCACAGTCACTGAAATAATTTTGACGTATAATCTTTGTTGTAATGTGGAAAACAAGGCAACTAATTACACACAGCAAGATCCCACAGACAACAATGATACAACAATGATAGCAAGCAATAATCTGTTTTTATGATGTTGAATAATGTTGAGTTTAGATACAATATATGTGTTCCATTGTGATTCCCATGGTGTTAAAGAGGGTAAAATTCAACTTTGACAGAATTACCTTTTCTAACTACAGAAGTGCTTCTCGAGCAGAGAGAGAAACGAAGATATCTAAATTTTCTTATTTTATCCATGTTGATTCTAAATTCACTTCATATTTTTTTTTTAGTGCAGTTTGCAAATCTCTCTGTGTTTACTATTTTCATCTCTTGCATTACTCATCTCTTCTGAAAGAAAACTTGGTGTTCTTGTGTATTTTTGAATTCCTAATTTAATCCAATACATATAATTCTCTATTCTGTCCTGATAGATAAGCAGAATGATGTGGAGATGCCCTCCCCTACACAGAAGGACAGAGACAAGAAGAAAAAGCAGCAACTCATGACACAGATCAGTGGAGTGAAAAAATTGAAGCACAGTACTAGCCTCACACACTCCAGCATCCCCCGATTTGCTGTCAAAACTGACTTGGAAGACCATCTTTCCAAGGTACAAATGTGATTTTGCAGTATCAAGCCAAATCATAATGTCTTTGGACCCTCAGTCATTATCAATGAGATACTACCTGAACAGTTGACCCAATACCATATCCCATTAGTCCTTTGGATAACAGAATTCTGTCAGTTTTAAAATTAACAATTGACTTAGCATGAGGTGTTGTTTGTAGAAGAGAGGTTTTACATTTTATTCCCTAACTATGCTAATGAAAGGATTGGCTCTAATATTTAGTCATTACACCCAGTGCTTGATTCCCCAATCGGCATAAATAGTTCCTTTCTACCCAACCTGTCAACTTCCCTTAGTTTCTTCAACATTTTGATTCAATCCACCTATTAAATTTGTAAATTCAAAGAAAGTAACACTATTTTATGTACTGTTGCCTTGCAATTTAACACTCGGTGTGTGGGTATCACTGTAGTAAATCTGCTCTTCTCTGCACTGTTGTACGTTTTCTTTTATTCATTAACGGGATGAGGACATCGCTGGCCAGGCAGCATTTATTGTCCATCCCTAATTACCCAGAGGGCAATTCAGAGTCAACCACATTGCTGTGGGTCTGGAGTCACATGTAGGCCAGACCAGGTAAGGAAGGCAGTTCCCTTCCCTAAAGGACATTAGTGAACCAGGTGGGTTTTCTCCTGACAATTGACAATGGATTCATGGTCGTCATTAGATTCTTAATTCCAGATATTTTATTGCAATCTGCCGTGGTGGGATTCGAACCCAGGTCTCTGGATTAACAGTCCAATGATAATACCACTAGGCCATTGCCTCTGCTAGAGGCCATGACCAATAGACCCTTCCTAAGGTGTGATATCCAGGCCTGAGTACAGTATTCCAGATGCGATCTAACCAGTATAACTGTGTCATGACTTCTAACTCCTTCTGTTCTAATGTCCAAGATATGAATGCCAGGGTTCTTTTGACCTTTTTGATTATTTTTGTATCTATCAAAGGCATTTTGATGATCTATACGCGCGGACCTCTAGGTCTTCTTTTGAACTACCAGCTTTTCATAGTCTTTTCATGATTTAGAAGGTACTCAAAAGTGGATGACAACAGAGTTGCTTATATTGAAAATCATTTGCCGTAGTTTAGCCCGTTTTTTAAATCTATCAATATAGTTTAGAATTCCATGCTTCCATCTATTCTGTTGTTGAAATGCTGTCTATCTTAGCAACATCAGTGAAGTTGGATTTGTAGCTCTTTACCGTAATCTAAGTTATCTAGTGTACTCAGAGATAGTAAGAACTGCAGATGCTGGAGTCAGAGATAACACAGTGTGGAGCTGGAGGAACACAGCAGGCCAGGCAGCATCAGAGGAGCAGGAAAGTTGACATTTTGGGTCAGGACGCTTCTTCAGAAAAGGGTCCAGTTCTGAAGAAGGGTAGTACGTGAAAGATTGACTGCTCATTTCCTCCAGATGCTGCCTGACTTGCTTTGTTCTTCCAGGTGTCAGTATGTGTTGGACAATTTGATAAAGTAATACAGAGGTAGTCAAAAGGACAAGGAAGTCCTATAATTCAACTTCTGTTTGGTATGAATTATTTAACTGTAGTTAGATTAGCAGTTCGAGTGCTGCAGTTGGCCTTGGCATTTGGCCAGAGAAAGGAAAAATCAGGGTTCCCACTCAAATTCCTTATCTAGCATGACCTGCTGTAAAGTGCAGACATTATGTGAATAAACAATTTGGCTTGTCTGCTTATTGCCACCCCAATCTATCAATATTCAGAATGTGTAGTAATACACAGCAAGGCTAATTTTTGTAGTAAATCACCTAAAAATAGTATTTCCACAAAAATGTAATTCTTGCATTTGAAATGTATTAGATGAAACAGTTTTGTGAAATGTAATATTTCAATGTGAAGTTTAATAAATATTTCATGTATTCATTAGTAATTGCTGATTTTCATGTTGATTTTATAGGAGTTGGATGACCTGAATAAGTGGGGCCTTAACATATTTAAAGTGGCGGAGTTTTCAAACAATAGACCACTCACCTGCATTATGTACAGTATCTTCCAGGTTAGTGGGGTCAAATGGGCAAAAAATACTAATTATTTTTGACCTACTTGCCATCAACTTTAGGATATGACATATTGTTGCTCTGGTAATAAAACATATGACAATTTTCTGAACCAGAAAAATAACATTGACTTCTAGCACAAATAAATTTTATTTTATTCCAGCTTTTCATTAAAATGCTTTCTGCACCTATCTATAAAGTTTGCATTTTGTTGCTTATTTCAATAGGAACGAGATTTACTGAAGACATTTAGGATCCCTGTGGACACATTTGTAACGTACATCATGACACTGGAGGACCACTACCATGGGGATGTGGCCTATCATAACAGCTTGCATGCTGCTGATGTTACACAATCTACACACATTCTTCTTTCTACCCCGGCATTAGATGTAAGTACATTTAAAGACCAAGAGTGAATATATAACCGTATGGATTCTTCCATAACTTTATGTAATACTTATGGTAGACGTTCAGGTGAGCTTAATGATCTAATTGCACTTTTTGACAAAGAGCAGTGAGTCCTTCAAGTGTCTTGACCAGCAATCATTCCTGAATTAATATCAGCAAAATAGATTAATTAGCCATTATCTCTCAGAACAACAGTGAATACATTTCAAAAGTATGTAATTGACTGTGAAACGCTTCGGGACAAAGGATCTGAAAGTGCTTTGAAAATACACGTTCTGCTGTTTAAATGTTGTTGATGTCCTACATTGGGCTTTTTAAAGTAGGACTTGTTTCAATCGAGTACTCTAATGTCATTTTCCATATTAGAAGTATATCTTTTGAGTTGAAAGGATGCATGATTGCTTTAATTCTTGTCAAAGGGGAACTCGAGGAGCAACAGTCTAATAGTGTAATTGTCGCATATATATCATGCACATCTGTTAAATGATATTTCCCTGATCTAGTGATTGATTTATCTTCTGATGAAGAGTCATTGACTTGAAACATTAACATTAATATTGCCTGATTTACTGAGTATTTCCAGAATTTTCTGTTTTTAATTCAGATTTACAGCATCTACCATACTTTGCTTTTGCATGGATTTTTTTTCCCTCCATTGTAACTAAATGGTTCAGTCTCGACATCCAATTTCAAGGTGACAGTATCTCAGCCGAGTGACTAATTTTTGTGTTTATACCTGGACAGTGCATGTTGACCAGCCATACAACTGTGTGCAACAACACGATTAAACCTAATCCTGACTGTTCCCAATCTTTATAAACTTTTCAATAGGAATCATTGATTAGCGATCATTAGTTAGAAATCAGAATGCAGTCCTTAGTTACTTTCTCTCCCTCCCAGTCCCCATTTCTAAAGTTCAGGAATATTGGCCTTGAAATTCCTATGATCAGACAGTCATTGCAGCAGTGTAGATTGGAACTGCATGTTGGGACCATGCAGAAACCCCAACACAGCTGACACTACAGAAGTTGCCCAGGAAATTGAAGTTTCCCAGGGGTAATTTCCCTGTGTCTGGAATCCTCCAAAATAATTACTTAAAGTTGAATGTTTTGGAGGACCTTGATTCAGTCAAGCTTAGTAGTATTTCAGAGTAAGTTTAGAAGATTAAAAACCTGCTCTAACTCATGGATTACTATTAAACTGAATTCCCAACTCATCACCGAATTCCCCCTTCCAATCCTGACACCACCATTGCACCAGATTCCAACCAACTTTCAAAACCACCTGGCATCCTTAACTCCCTCATCCACCTATCGCCTAACCCCTCATCCACCTAGCACCCTTCCACAGCACTCATCCTATCTACACTGTAGATAGCACCGTTACATCTGCACCTTCAAACCATAGAACTTGATGCACTTGGGCAGGCAAAACAAGGCCTAAGTCATCGGACCCTGGAAAGAACCAAGGATCAGTGGGTCCTTGGTGCAAATGCCCATTGGTCCCTTAAGGTAGCAGTGTAGGTAGGCAAAGTGGTTAAGAAAGCATATGGGGCACTTGCCTTTATTAGCTGAGGCTTAGAGTCCGAGAGCAGGATGCTGGAACTGCATTAAATATTGGTTATGCCACAACTAGAGTATTGTGTGCAGCTCTGGAATCCACATCATAGAAGAGTGCGGAGGAGATTTACCAGGATATTTCCTGGGCTAGAGAGATTGGAGAGTCTCGGGTGGTTTTCCTTGGATCAGAGGAGAATGTGGCGGACAAGATTTAGATGTATAAAATTATGAGGGGCTCAGACAGGGTAGAAGGGAGGGAACTTTACCCCTTAGTGAGGGGATCAGTGACCAGGGGCATAGATTTAAGATAAGGGCAGGAGGTTAGAAGGGTTGTGACGAATTTTCTTTCACCCAGAGGGTGGTGGAAATCTGGAACTCCCTGCCTGCAAGGGTGGTCAAGGCAGAAACCTTCATAACATTTGAGAAGTATTTAGATGTATACGTTTGATACCAAGGCATACAAGTCTATGGCCAACGGCTGGAAAACGAGATGAGAATAGTTAGGTGGTTGCTTTTGACCAGTGCAGATTCAATTGACTGAGGGTCCTTTTCTGTGCTATAGACCTGTTTGAGAAGATGGCACACTTGCTGCTGAAATAGGGGTGCGGTTTCCACTCTGATCATCTCCGTTGCTGGTTATAGTCTTCCCTGGATTGGTCTCCAATGTTTCCTAACAGAAGGCTCCTGACTAGAAAATTCCGGGGTAGAACTGATCAAAGCTGTTTTTTTTTCAGCCCAATCATGCAAAATGTAGTTCTCCCAGCACTGACCTACCAAATTCAATACAGAACAGGGATAGAACCTGAAACATTCCAGGGCTCTGGTATCCAGTTTCTTACACAAGAGACTGCACCTTGATTGGTAACGAATTCCTTTGTAGATGGATTCACTTTAGTCCAGTGAATTCATTTTCCTTCGGCTAATAAAGACAGATTAGTCATCAGTATCATACAGGGGCTCAGGGTTGTTTATCCAAGGCAAGGAAATGTCAAACATTACACATGAACTCTCATGATAGAGAATGCAAAGCTGGCTGTAATGAATGTTTGTGTGTCTGTGGGCACGTTCACATTTGTTTGATGTTTCTCTTTTATAGGCAGTGTTTACAGACCTCGAGATTCTTGCTGCAATTTTTGCAGCTGCAATCCATGATGTGGATCATCCTGGTGTCTCCAATCAATTTTTAATTAACACCAGTAAGTATACAAGTGATGAGATGGATGTGCGCTAATTTCAAAATAAATTTCAAATGTCCCATCGTTTATTTTGCATTCATTTTTATTGTAATGCATTTTCTAACTTTTTTCAACTATGATTCAATAGTAGCAATCCTGTCTATAAGTCACACGTTTCCAGGTTCAAATCCCATTTCAGGATTTGAACACAAAAATCAAGGCTGAGTGAGACTCAGTACTGAAGCAGTGCATCCTGTATACAATGTTTATCAGCACCCAGAGGAGAGAAGTGAATTATAGCATGGAAAATAACTATTTTTTGTTCTATTTATTGTGTACTGTATGTTCACGAATTGTGTGAATGTCACGAAAGTTCAAAAAAAATCGCTTGTGTAATAATGAATGGAATTCATTCTTAGCGAGAACTATCACTTGTAATTTGTTCCAGTGTAGAAATTTGGGACAGTGCTTTGGATCAGAAGGGCATTTCTTAAATTTCCTTATCCAGAAAATGTAAATATTCAATGGGCTACATTTCAGTAGAGACTTGGTGTCCATGACTTTGTCCAGTAGAAATTAAGCACATGCAAGCCTTCATTTTGAATAATGGAGGGCTATTTGTTTCTTCTCTCCTTAACTCTCGAGCAGTGAAGCTAATTTTTGCATCACTATTGCTGCCCCACTTGACATTAGCCATTTTAGCACAGAACAAATAATAAATATGGGGCTTAGTTTGTCTGTATTCCCAAGTTATTGTTGAAAAATCATACATTTATTTTTAAAGCAGATCCTATTTTTCAGTTACATAGAGCAACAGTGGTCTTAGTCTTGTGCAGCTGTGTAAAAGATCTTAATTATTAAATATCACTATCTTGCTACATTGTGTGAATGGCTATCATATATTTGACATTTAAGGTCTCACTATAATTATCATAATTAGAACAATCTTTGAAATATGTCATTTTTGTAGCAATGTAGATGGGAAATCTTGGAACCTCAGTCTGGACTTGGCAGGAGGCAACAACTTGCCCTCAAACAAATGAGAAAAGTAAAAGACATGGAATGAGCAAAGTTCTTTTAGTATCACAAACTGTGCACAATCTTTCCATCACAGTCACCATTGCAACATGTTCTTTTAAATAGAGCCTCACTGTATGTAGAATTGGATGTTTTTTTTAATGTGATTAAAACTATAAGAAAAAGATGAAGTTGGGAAAACTATAAAACTCATTAACCTCCAGAACATTGTTGATTTCTGAAAGATCTTTAATTAGAATCATATACGTGCCATACCTACATGGATTTGGCAGTAATTGTGTTTGTGCATTATTGTTTCTGTATTCCAATTTTTCAGTTTTAACACCTGCTGGATGCAGTGACTCATTTTGTGTAGGTGGACTGAGCAATCAAAATGAGAATCTCTTAAGTTAGACTTAAGTGGGCTCAGTTTATAAAGGAATCTGTGAAGTTTAATCTTTATTGTTAAATTGTTGGCATTAATCCAGTACTAAACAAGAATCATTCAAGCAATATTTCTAGTAAATTACATTTTCTTTTGTCCCTGGTAAATTACACAAAAACACAAGGGAATTTCAACCCTCACACCCCCCACCAAACCACCACCATGTCCCTAATGATGTTGACATTAAACGTCCAGCATACAGATGCTAATGATCTTTCTGAACCTAAACTGCCTGGACGGTATTTTGATATCAACAAGCTTATTTGTTTTTGGAATACCTTATCCTGTCTCATGTAATATCCAAATTCATGGCTCCTTGCTCTTGTAGTCTAAAGCCCAAGATACTGTATGCTTTATTAATAGCTCTTTCCAATTGTTCTGCTACCTTCAATGATCTGTGAACATATACACCTAGGTTCCACACCCCCTTTAGAAGTGTACCCCTTATTTTGTATTGCCCGTCCATCTCCTTCCTACAAAATGCATCACCTTACACGACATCATATTGTTGTCAATTTTTTTTTGGCTTTGTCTCGTGAGAAAGACCATGTCGGAAGTGCCTATGGAAAGTCTAATGCCACACTGTGATGTCTGAGTGTATTTCCTCAGCCACAGGACATAGGTTATTTAGGACAACACATGTCATGATTTTGCTTACCATGCATAACAGTACAATACCTCAGTAGTTTCCATAGCATGATTTATTGCCCTTCTTCGAGGTAGTTTAATTTTTACATTCCTGAAGTTAGAAAACATGTACTGGAAGAGTTGAGATTCTTTTCTTACCAAAGCTTCAGAGTGAGTGCTTGGAGTCTTCAGATGAGCAAAAACCATCAGCTTTGAAGGTCTCAACTGGCATACTGTTGGGGAATGCCTACAATTTTGCTTTTCATTACTTGGATTGCTTTCTGCAGCTCCCCTATCAATGGTGGTCCACCCATGGATTCTGTCACAGGGTACTGGGGATAGACTGTAGAGAAACAGCAGTCATGTGAATTTATGGTGGAGCTGTTGTTTAAAATATTCTCTCCAGCATTACCGAATGATAACTTTATTCTTAAGAAGACAAAGAAGGGAGAACGAAGGTGATTTTCTCCACTTGAACTTGGTTTAAATAGGACCTTAATGCTTTCAAAGAAAACTATGTATGTCAGGATGGCCAGCATATTGTTGAAACTCTTGGGTTTTCTCTTCTTCCCACAGCTCCTTTATCTTCCATAATTGTCTTTAGGCTGCAGGCTTTGAGCTGTTGAAATGCTGCCTTCTTTATTTACAACCTTGAGTTGTCACACCAGGCAATGAAGGCTGCTAATTTTTGATCTGCAAGGTCACGTAATTCAGCATTGACTTTGATAAAATGATTGCTTTGATAAAATGATACTGAACCCACTGGTCTGGGTGCAAGTGCCCAATACAGCTGATTTAATTTGATTCCACAGTTTTGGAATTAAGTTTGTGTTAACATTTTCCAGATCTGTTGTGAGCTTCACTAGGAATTTGTCTCTTTTGTCATGCTCCTTTTGGGCTGAGACAATGATCTCTACTGTTTGGGGTCTTGCGATTTCTTGGTGTTAGTTGGATGTTTATCACCATTAAAATATGTCAGCAGGAAAATGCCATTTGCTTTACTTGCCTTGGTTTTCCCAGTAGTTTGACCCAGGTATGTGAGTCATGGCTGATCCTCTATTAAAGTTTAGAGGATGATTTTTTAAAATCATCTTTTGGGATGCAGTGAAGACCTCATGAAGGTCAAAGTAGACCTTTTCCTTAACATGTTTGTCAGTTAAGTGCAGCACACAAGCGCTAAAGGTGGCAGTATATTAGTTATGTCTGAGCTGTTGGTAAAATTAATGTGTCTTTCAGTTGAGGATTTCTGGGATGGTGAACTGTGCCCCCGAGCTGAAATGCTGAATAAAGCGACCATCCCAGATGCTCTGGTAGGGTTGCTTTACAGCTGGGAGTATAGAAGCATTTACAATGATACTGATTTCTGTTCTTCTTCTTTCCCCATTGAGCAGAGCCGCTTTTAAATAAAGTACTTGGGGGAGGGCCGGCATTGTACTTGCGTCATTCCATCTATAATGTTACATGCCAGTGCACTGCACTGATTCTTTCAATAAAACATGTTACCTAATTCACACCAGATCAACAACAGATGGGGCTTTTCAACTTCTTATCATTATCTGCACATTTTTTCTTTTCCCTGTTATTTTAGATTCCGAGTTAGCACTGATGTACAACGATGAGTCTGTGTTAGAAAATCACCATCTGGCTGTGGGTTTTAAACTTCTGCAGGAAGATTCCTGTGACATCTTTCAAAATCTCACCAAGAAGCAGCGGCAGATGCTGAGAAAGATGGTTATTGAGATGGTAAGTAAACTCGTCCTGGATTAGGTCCAGAAAGTCAACCTATGAAAAGATCTTTTTGGTTGTTTGAGAAGATCTGAGACTTGCATCGATTTGTTGAAATGTTCAATGTTTTTCTCCCCTGTCTAGGTGTTGGCCACTGACATGTCAAAGCACATGACCTTATTAGCAGACCTCAAGACCATGGTGGAAACAAAAAAAGTGACGAGTTCGGGTGTTTTACTACTTGACAATTACACAGATAGAATACAGGTCAGTACCATGATACACAGCAGTCAGGATACCTAAGCTGTAAAGGGTATATATGGGTGGAATTTTCCATGATGTTTGGCAGTGAGCATGGAAGTGAGTGGGTGTTTTGCGTGATTATGTGGGTCTCAGTTCATTACATAGGCTTTGGACTGCGGCAAGAGTTTGAAAGTCCTGACACCATGATTAAAGGACACATACGTAGGCTTTCATCCCCTGTAAATCAGGAGCATCATTTGACTGCTCAGAAGTGATGCATGTGAACATGCAAGTTACAAGCAAAAATAAGCCATTCAGCTCTTTGAACCTGCTCTATCATTTAACAGGAACTAAGCTGATCTGAAATATGACCTCAACTCCACTCATCAGTCTACTGACAATACCCTTTGACAACCTTGTTAATCAAGAATCAAACTCTGCCTTAAAAATATTCAATGATCTTGCCCCCACCAGTCTTGTGGAAATAAGTTTCACAGACTCACAACCTTCTCAAGAAAAATTCTCCGCATCTCTATTTTAAATGGGTGTCACTTCCTTTTTAATCTGTGACCCCCATTCTGGTCTCTGCCACAAGGGGAAACATCCTTTTAGCATCTAACGTATTAAGTCCCTCAGAATCTTGCATTTTGCTTACTCTTCTGAGCTGTAGTGGGTACAGGCCGACCTGTTTCATTATCCCTCATAATTCCTTCAGTAGTGTGGACCTTCTCTCAATTGCTCTTCGTTAAACTATGTCCTTTCTCAAATACGGCAACCAAAACTATGACCAGTACTGTAGAAATGGTCTGACCAATCCCCTGTGCGACGTTGCCAAAATATCCCTACTTTTATATTCCAAATGCCTTGCAATTGTTGTTCCTGGATATTAACCTGCTTCCCTCGGTCATCTTCCATGCTCCATGCAATTTAGATTATGCTGCACAATGCCAATCATGGCATGGCATAGATCAACACATCTGAAAGAGGATAAAGCGCTAGCTACTCACGCCAAAGTCCAACAGGACACTTCATTTGCTGCATGCCTCTTATAGGTTTTGTTTTAACCAACCCGTCCAGATGTGGTATGGCACACATCTGAAGCAAGTAGGATTTCAACCCAGGCTTCTGAGCTCAAAAGTACATTATCACTGCACCGCAGGAGCAAAGTCAAGTCACCATAGTCCCAGTGGACCATTGGGTTGCTGTCTCATCAGAGAGACAGTTAGTGTTTGTTTAACCTAAGGGTCACGACACCTCAAGCGAGGGGCGAGGTGAGAAGAATCCTTCCTGGCAACCTCAACTGGTGCAGGAATTGAAGCGACTCTGTTCGCATCACATTGCATCACAAATCAGCCATCTAGCCAACTGAGCTAACCAACCCTTATTGCACATTTCTTGTACACAATCGAGAATCAGAAGGCATGAATTGCTCACTCATGGAGAAAAAATATTAGCAAGGGGTGCTTCATTCTGGTGAGCTGGCCTTTAAAAGAGCATGCAAAAGAGCTTTCTTTTGCTTGCTGTTAGGAAATTTGACCCCTCTTTAAGGATTGCCTTAAAAAAAGATGTAGTTTGACTTCCCTTGACTATCTTGCATATATGCTTGGAATGGATGTGTGAACTGTAGAGTTTGGTGTGGTGATTGCCATTCCTCAGAAGATTCAGGCCTTTATCTCTCCCCTCTTAGCCACGTACCAAGGATGTTGAGGTTTAAACTGGAATGTGCTGAAGCACCAGGAGTTTCCTATGTCATAACTGGAAGCCTGAGAAGCCAGCACATTACTTTGTTTTTCTGCTCCTGCCTGGGGTCAGTCTGTGCTGGGAGTACCCTTAGGACACAAAAGAATATCCCAATGATTTGGGCCAAAACCCAAATTTTAGGTTTGCTGCTCCTGTTGACATTATAGTTAAATAGCCCAGGGAAGTCTGCCTAGAATGAGAGTGTCATCGTCAGGTAGTCTGTGATATTCTGTTTTGAAAGATTCTAAATAAGCCCCCTGTTATTTTGGTTCCAGGTTCTTCGTAATATGGTGCACTGCGCAGACTTGAGCAATCCCACAAAATCCCTGGAGCTGTATCGGCAGTGGACAGATCGAATTATGGATGAATTCTTTCACCAGGGAGACAAAGAACGGGAACGGGGCATGGAAATCAGTCCAATGTGTGACAAACATACCGCCATAGTTGAAAAATCCCAGGTAGATGATAACTGCTCTATTTGTCGAGTAAAACGTTCACATATTTTGTGGACACTTTTATCATGAGCATAACCTCTTTGCTTTTGTACTCCATAAAGCAAAGGACTCCATATCCTATTTTAACAGCTATATCAACTTGTCATTTTCATAGATTTGTGTGCATCAATCTCCAGGTCTGTGTGTAATGCATTCTTTCTTTTCTTTATTTTTCTACCATTTAATTTTCCTGTTCACTCTTTTCCAAAATACATCACTTCACATTTTTCCCCATTGCATTTCATATTTTATGTTTCCGCCAATTTCATGTGTCGGTTTCCACCTGTAGTTTACTATAATCCAGCTCACAAATTAGTACGTTTTCAAGTTTTGTAACATTTGAAAGATTGAAGTTACACCCTGTGTACATATGTCCTAGTCATCAATATTCACCAAGAAGAACAGCAGTCCTTTGGCCCATTTGGTGCACATTTCCCTTTAGGCTGATGAACAACTGTTCAACACTCGTCTCTGTATTCTGTAATATAGTGAGGAATTGGGTTAGGTTTACTGATGCATAAAACAATGTGGCTGCCTTTGTATCATCAGTTCATTTGATTATATACTGTACTTCTGGATCCTTTGCTCATTCTTATGAAGGATGCTTTTGCCTGACAATGTTCTGAAATTCAATTCTTGCTGAACCAATAAGCTAGCATTTCCCCTACAATACTTATGGATCTGCATTCCACAGTATTATGTTACACTTCATGTAATTCATTTAATTATATCGAAATATTTCCTGCACTTTGGTTATACATTATAAGGAAAATATGCAGTTGTTTTGCTCTATTCTTGTGTTTTGGAATATTTATAGATTGTTTCTTATGAAAATATGGATTAATTTTAGTTTAGTTAAATTAACCAGTAAATATTTTTCTACTGATATTTTTTGCATAGGTTGGATTCATTGACTACATTGCACACCCTTTGTGGGAAACATGGGCTGATCTTGTTCACCCTGATGCTCAGGATATACTAGACACATTGGAGGACAACAGGAATTGGTATCAGAGCATGATTCCCCAGAGCCCATCCCCTTCCCCAGATGAACAAGAGAAAGAAGGTCAGTATTCCACTGAAAAATTCCAGTTTGAGCTTACGCTGGAAGAAGATGAAGATTCAGAAGGGACTGCAAAAGAGGAAATGAGTCAGGGAGAAGAGGACAGTAGTTGCCAGAGTTGTGAAACAAAGATATTTGTTGCACTGGAGTCAGAAAGCCAGGAGATTGAGGTGGAAGAGACACAAGCAGACCCTGTCACTGAAGACACCTCACCTGTTGATACGTAACAATTCCACAAAAGTGAACATTTAGTTATTGTCACGTGCACAAATGATCTCTAGGGAAAAACCTATGATGTTGGTTTTAAACCCAAGGTTTTGCAAATGAAAGCTTACCATTCTGGTTCAGTTGATCAATTAACTATGACGGCAAGATTGGAGGGCCAAAGGTAGATGAAACATTTGCCAGTATTGTGTTGAAGTATTGGCTTAACTGCAAGCCATGCTTATTTGAAGCTGGTGGACAAAAGCTGTCTAAAATTTAATTTGGGATGAGCATGCAAATGGATGACACAAAACTGAGAGATTTCATACTGCAAGACACTGAAACTGTATGACAGTCTCAACAATATGAACTAGCTTTTTACGTAGGAAACTGTTCTTTGTTCAGTAAATTATGTCTTAGGACTGTGTGCCTTTTGAAAAATGTTTTTGTCCTTCCAAAAGTGTTTTATTTATTTGAACACAATTTACTAAAATCCTAACAAAACTTTTCTACACACAAAGAACAGTACAAGAACAAATCCATTTATAATTCTTTTGAAAATTAAGAGAAATTAAAACTAAGTCTTCCGGTTCCCTTCATAGTATGGCAATATATGCTTTTGAAAATTTATTCTTTGGTGCATCTTTACTTTGAAAAGTAAAAATGGACTAACCGTCCATAGCCTATTTTAAAAATATCCCAAAAAGATTTTCAGTCGTATAAACATTTTTTGTTTTATACCTAGCTTTTTTAAAAAAATTGTATTTTGGGAGATTTTGAGTACCTACTTATTACAGACTGTCACAGTCCTGCTCATTGGTGGAAGAAAGACAAGTTAATATTGGGTTAAATTATATTTTTATTATTAAGCAATTTGAAAACTTTATCCCCTTGAAGTGTAATTAAATGGTAAATCCAAGTCCCAAGTCACTACATGTTCAGTCGTTGTATACAGGTGATAAATTGGCTGGGTTCAGTAAGTTTGAACATGACATCTCACCTCTACAATATGAGTTTGTCTAATTCAGACTTATGCGTTGAAAGTTTCCCCTTTTCTGGTTCCAAAATGATATGAATTTAGCATGATGTCAACTGTGCCATTGAAAGTTATCTTCATGTCCAGTATTTTGGGTTTAAATTAGCAAGTTCACACAGCAAGGTGACCTTAATGGCTGATTTGGGAAGTGAAAAGATTTTCAAGATCACATAGGTGAGAGATAACAGTCATCCATAATGAATAATTATAAAAACTGCCTTGTTCATCATACTTAGCTTTCAAATTAGTTCTGAGGCAGTGGTTGAGGCTCGCTGCTGAGTCAAATTTAAGGATGCTTTCCTGTTTGATACCAGATTTAGGGAAAATACCAGTTGCCTGAAATGGGGTAGTGTTACATCTCTGTGAATTGAAATCCCTATTTGACAAACACAAAAATATGAAATAGAAAGTAGAGATGATATTGCTGTTTCTGCCTTCTGTATCATTGACATTCATTATTTTTATCTCTCTTCCTTAATTATCTACTGGAAACATTGAGCAATGGCATTTAAGTGTTGCCATGACAATCTCCAGCTTTGCATAATGGATAAATCATTGTGAGCTGGAACTTTCCCCGCGTAAAGATAAGGTGTTCATAAACAATTTTATAATTTCAGTGTAACTTCTCAACTGTTGGATTCCAGTTCAATGATTGACATAAAATGTCTTAATTCCTTCAGAAGAGGATTTCTTGTTTTTCTAAATCATGAATGCATGCTGGAAAATTCATCATTAGTAATACTGATTAACTGTAGGTATTAATAAAGTGAAACAAATTATTCTTGTAATTTTGATCTAATTATCACATTCAATGCTGATTATTATCATGTGGAAGGGGAAATAGAGATTTTCATTTTCTTTCCACTCTTCAAAATGAAAGTCACAGAATGGGAGCAGATTATAGATGTTTGGTTGTGTACATTTTTATGACTGTACTTCTGAAACAGACTGATATTAATGAACACTGTATAATTTGTGATAGACAAAACAGAAATTGCTGAAAGTACTCAGCAGGTCTGACAGCATCTTTAGAGAAAGAAACAGAGCTAAAATTCTGATGAAAAGTCATCAATCTGATTTGATAACTCTGTTTGCCTCTTCATAGGTGCTGCCAGACTCACCAAGCATCTCCAACATTTTCTGTTTTATTCAGAGCCACAGCATGCATAGCCTTTTACTTCTGTGACCATTAATGTTAACCATCTGTATTCTAAAATTCCTCTTCAAAGGGAATCTATTCCTCTGAATATTCACATAGCTCAACGCCATTTGTTGGCTTACCAATGTTTCACTGTCGTTCCTTTTCCCTCTAACCACTAGCACCACTGCCCATTGTTTCTATTTGTGTTGCTGTTGTCTAAGAAAGTGATGTCTGGGTGCCAGCTACAGTTTTAGAACATGAAACATGGCTACAAGAGTTTATTTGGGAGGCACTATTGAACATTTAAGTGTATCACGTAAGGCTATGAGGCTATTCACTTGATTGCACCTACCTTTTTAATTTATTTAAATGTGCTCAATTTCAGTTTATGTTACCAGTGTGCCATCCTTTGTACGACGCTGCTAATTCCATTCTTAAAGCATGTCCATTTCTATTTAGAACCATGTATTTATATCATGTACATATTGTAATGTTTATTGTAAATTATTAATTTATGCATTAACATTGCCTGTAAAGTGGTGGTGTTACTGTGTAGGAAATTCAAGGTGAGAGTTTGCTTCATCTTGCCATTGTTTTTTAATTATTGTGTAATATAGTATAACCTGAACAGTAGTGATAAAGAGACATATGGAACCCAGAAATTGAAAATATTTGTGTCAATTTTTTTCAGTTATCTGAACTAGTCCACCACAGATTACAGTCTAAAATTATTTAATGTGCAACTGTGAAGCAATGTCTGGGATAACTGTTAGGAACTTAAAGCTGCAAAACAAAAAAAAATTCCAGTCTGATGTCAGTATCTTGTAAACTGCATATAAGCTTTTGGTCCAAATTGTGTTGAAAACGGTTTAGCAGATTTGAACGTCTGCATGAGCAATGGGTTTATATGTCTGTTAAACATTGCAATGTTTCAGGTGACAATTTCCTTAATGTTTTCTCAGTCTCACACAATGTATGGTATAGTATTGTATATTGTGTTCAGAAACCTTTTAAAAGATTTTTATATGAAGTGATTAAACTAAAGCATGAATATATTTTATGTTCCTTCAATTTTATTGAATTTTGAAAGTTATTAAATAGCACCATTGGTGCTTTTGCACCCCATAAGTATAATGCTATGTATTTTCATTATTTTTCCAAATAATAAGGCTCTCTTTTAATTTTTTTCCAAACTTCTCCTGTTGTAATGATATTGACCTGTATAGACAGTTGTGATTCCATGAGAATTTGCATCACTCTAGTGGCTCATACAAGTGGTCAATGTACATTGAGTGTTGGCTATGGATGTGTCACAGCTAAATCCAATCCTGATGTCCACAGTCACATTATAGCACGTGTCACTGGGAAGTGATCAGGAGCAGGATAGCTGGCCAATTTTTACCACACTATAGCCCAAGATTATTAATGATATTTATAAATATTCTTAAAGATGTACTAAGACAGGTTAACCAAGCAGAGACTAAAAGCTGAAACTTGTAGTTTTTGCCAGGGTCTTAGTTCTATACAATGGATTTACCAACTTAACTAGTGAGGAAACCTTTCCTCTTTTTTGTTTCCCTACAGTTAACCTGTTCCTGAAGCTGACATAACATACACACCAAACAAAATTCTGAGATGTGAGGATTTGCTGTGCCAGGCTCAAAGAGACACTATTACAAAATTCTCAAGCCTAGATGGGTCAGGATAAAGCAAAGTACAACCTTGCCTTTGAGAAGTAACATACTTCTGGTGATAACAATTGAAATAATTGTTAAAAATATGCCTTAGTCTCAGGATAGCCCACATGTTAGGCCATTCAATAGGATCATGACTGATCCAACATTCCTCACGTCACTTTCCTGTCCTTACCCTACAACCCTTAATTCCCCTACTGATCAAGAATCTATCTATCTCAGCTTTAAATATACACCAGGACTCTGTCCCTACAACTCTCTGTGGCAAGGAGTTTCAAAGACTCTCTACCCCTTGAGAGAAGAAATTCCTCCTCATTTCAGTCTTAAATTGGTGTCCCTTTATTCTGAAATAACGCCCTCTGGTTCTAGACTCTCCCATGAGGGGTAACATCAGTGTTGATTTATGTTAAGGCACAGAAGTACAGAATGAGAAATGGCCACTTGCCATATTGCACCTATTACTTTAGCATTACTTTCTTTATTCTTTCACAGGAAGTGGGCTTCAGTGCCTAGGCCCCAGAATGTATTTCTCCATAATTGCCCTTGAGAATGCGGTAGTGAACTAGTTCTTGAACAGCTTCAGTGTTGTTTAGGAACTCCAGGATTTTGACCCTGCTGCTGTGAAGTGATATAATTCCAAGTCAGGATGGTCTGGAGCTTGGATTTGAAGGTGTTAGTGTTCCCATATGCCTACTACCATCGTTCTTCTAAATGGTCAAGGTTACAAGTTTGGAAAGTGCTGTCAAAGCAGCTTTGGTGAGTTGCTGAAGTGTGCATTTTAAATGATATGCATGCTGCTTCCCCTTTGAATCGGAGAAGAAGTGAACATTAAAGATAGAGTTATTTATTCATAGGATGAGAGCATTGCTGGCTAAGCCAGCATTTATTCCCTGTCCCGAATTGCCCAGAGTTGCTGTGCATCTGGAGTCACATGTAGGCCAACAAGGTAAGGATGGCAGTTTTCTTCCCTAAAGGGCGTTAGTGAACCAGATGCATTTTTATAACAATCAACAATGGATTCATGGTCATCAGTAGACTCTTAATTTCAGATTTTTTAAATTCAAATTCCACCATCTGCACTGGAATTCAAACCAGTGTCCCCAGAACATTACTTGAGTCTCTGAATTAATGGTCCAGGAATAATGCCACTAGGTGGTCATGTCCCCTGTAGTGCCAATCAAGATATAGCCCAATTCGTAGACTCTACCAAACATAATCTCAGGAAAAATTTGACATAACTTATTCTTAACAATGAGAATTTAAATTTTACATTACTCACATTTGCATATTATTCAATGCTGACCTGTTGGTTCCCACACAACATTCCCACAGTCCCAGCAGCCCAGGAAACCACTGTGTGTCATGGAGCATTTGATCCTCTTTGTCTACATTCATCCCAATAAATTTTAGTTTTGTTAAAAACCAGGCACTTTTCCAGCACCTTTTTAAAGGAGGTTATTGACACAGCATTAACTGCTTTTGCTGGACAGTTGGTTCACATATAAACAACCTAGGGGAGCTAAATTTTCACAAATGAACTGTGTGTATGGAATACTGAGATAGCAGGAGAGATTTAAGAGAGGAGATAAAGATCCATCAAAAAGAGTGTGAAACCATGAGAAATGACTGAATAACTGCATCGTATTATTTTCAATGTTGTAATATGTAAAGTTTGTATTTACAGTTCTTAATTTCAGCTGCATTGTCAGAAATAGAAGTGAGTAAAATATGAGTGATTTTAGAACATAGAACAGTACAGTACAGGCCCTTCGGCCACGATGTTGTGCCGAACTTTTGCCTTTTTGCTGGAAAACAAAGTAAATACCACATAATATGCACACTTATTTGAATAGGATATGAACTCTGTTTTACTGACAAAGGCCACAGGTTATCCTCTGACTTTGAACAATCTAGCAGTTCCAGTGCAGATTCTGAAGGTCAGCCATTCATTCTTTTAAACTTCAATGAGACACAAGGCCTTGATATCAACCCCCAGATCTCCATTCTAATTCTAGCCTCTTGTGCATCCCTAATTTTAATTACTGTATCATTGCTGGTCATGCCTTCAGCTGTCTGCAGCCTAAATGAGTGTTGAGACCTGTGAAAGTGTGAAATATTCACACTCACTTGACTGTCAATTCTTAAAGAACTAATTGGTGGGAGAACCCATAAGTTATCTCAGCATTGGGGGTGGTGTGTTAGTCATATCCTAACACGCACGCCTCCCCAGTTAGAAAAAGCTACTGAACATCTTGAGCTAATGTTAGTATGCCAATCATTTAGGATTAGTATTTTATTTGAAAATGATTATAAAAGTTAACATTTTATAAATATACATTTCTATCAAGAGGGCTATGATACAAGGAGTTATGCTTCAGCTGTATAAAGCCCTGGGTTAGACCACACCTGGAGAATAAATTGAACAAAGCATTTTTTTTCAATAGAATCCTTACAGTATGGAAACAGGCCCTTTGGCCCAACAAGTCCACACCAACCCTCAGAGCATCCCACCCAGACCCATCCCCCTAATCTACACACCCCTGAACACAATGGGCAATTTAGCATAGCCAATCCACCTAACCTGCACATCTTTGGACTGTGGGAGGAAACCAGAGCACCCAGAGGAAACCCACGCAGACACAGGGAGAATGTGCAAACTCCACACAGTTGCCTGAGGGTGGGATTGAACCCAGGTCCCTGGTGCTATGAGGCAGCAGTGCTAACTACTGAACCACTGTGCCACCCTTATTTTCTTTTCTATAAATTCTGTGATGATTAATGTACAATCACACGGAGGTCCCTCTGCTAACATTTCCAGTCTTTGAACATACAAAAATATTCTGATATTTTATTACTTCTTTCAAAGTAGATAATTTCACACTCAGCACTTTGTATTTCATCTGGTACATTCTTACTCATTCATTCAGCATGTCTATATCCCTCTGCAACCTCTTTTGCTCAGTCACCTGCCCAACTCTGTATTATCAGCAAAATTGAATAAGTTGCATTCAGCCCTCTAGTCTGAGTCAATAAAGATGATAGAAGTTTGGAGCTCTCTTGCTCATATAGTAATTGAGGAATTGTAATTTTTAAAATCTCAGATTGGTAGATTTTAAATATGTGGAAATATTAAATAATATGGAGCAAAGGTAGCTATTTGCAATTGGGCCCAGGTCAGCAATAATTTCATTGAATTGATTTGAGGGCCTGAATGCCATATTTCTGTCCATATAATACGGTTTAATATGGCCCAATGTTTTAAAATATCCGAAAGCACTTCCAGCCAATTCAGTCATTTTACAATGTAACCTCTGTTGTTAAGTCAGAAATGGGGCAGCAAATTTATGCACAGCAAGCTCCACAGATGGTATTGAGGTAAAAAGAATAGTCTGTTTAGTGAGATAACAAGGTGTAGAGCTGGATGAACACAGCAGGCCAAGCAGCATCAGAGGAGCAGGAAGGCTGACGTTTGGGTCTAGACCCTTCTTCAGAAAAGTCTGTTTAGTGATGTGGTCAATAGGGAGCCTTCATTTGAGGTGAACATGGGTCTAACTTTTGAATTTGTGACCAATGGGTTTTTCTGTATGTCAGAAGTTACTTCAGAAACTGTGGAGAATTTTTTAAAAAGCAGTTTTTGAAGCCTGGCTATCAAGTGAATAGATTTATGCACTAATGAACTTTTGTTTATTTTGGATTGTTTGTGACTCAGTATGGCAGTGTGTTCTGGAATTTGGTGTTGTTTTAACATCAGTTTGCTGTTACTCTCGCACCATCGATAATTGCCGACAGTACATGCAGACAACATTGAACTAAAGTGATTGAAATTAATTCAGCAGAAAACGAAAATTAGCATGATGACATCATCTGGCAAGAATTCAAAACTCAAATTCTTGCCATTGTGATAAACTTCAGCCATTAATTTCTCCTTCTATAGATGGCAAGATGATTTACACACTACTGGGTGGCAAGAAGCTTATTTACATCATTAGTTATACAACACTCCCCGAAGTAAGTTTGTCATCCCAATTAGCTTCTGCCCAACTGGGATGTCTATGCTTCAGAAATTTCACTGCATACAGCAAGCTTTTACCTGTTTACTTGGTCTTCTGCCTTCAGTCTGAGTGAGTTTTGCTTGAGGCATTGTTCGTTATCTTCACTTTTGCTGTAAGTTCTTGGACTGCTGTGGTCAAGTCCAATGGGACTAAGGCAGGATATGTGCTAAGACCATCACAGAACTCAACTGGATAACAGCAAGATATTGGCTTCAATTTCAAATGTCAGCTTATCAATCAGGTCAGCCAACAGTTTTTGTCTCAGAGTGTCACAGGGTACTGCCACGGTCCATTCATGAGCAGGGCCATTTCTAATCAGGTGATTGGTTCAGTTTGCTTTCGGGGATTAGTACGTTTCAC